TTCCAGCTCGAACGACCGGCGCTCCGGCCAGGGCATGAGAGAGACTTCGCCGCTGCCGCCGGCAAACGCGCCGTCTCCGGCGCTGCTACCGCTCGTGCCCCCGCCGGTAGCTTCAGGTACCACCACCGCGGCAACATCGCGACCACCACCACCACCACCACCACCAGAGGCTGAGGGGGAGGATCGCGGCCATCGTACGTCTAGCAATCGGAACGCGACCGCGAAGATGAACCAGAGGCCTTCGCTCTCCTGCTCCAGGAGGTGCGGCAGCTCTTGCAACCCCGGGGGTGATCTAGGAACGAGAACCCTGGGTTGAGTCCGGTCGTCGACGACGACAGATTTCGCGTTTGGGCGGAGGTTATGGTAGTTTGGTGAACACGCGGGCAGAGCAGCGGCAATCGATCGAGCACGAACGAACGCGAGTAAGCAACGAACACGCCAGGCTTCTTCTGGTGCTTTACCCGTCGGCACGGGAACGGTCGCGCCAGATAGGGCCTCTCTCGCGACGGACGTAACGGCTGCAGCGCAAAAAAACAAGTGACCCGTTCCACATGCCTGTGGTCTACCCGTGTGTGTCGTGCTTCCGAATGGCGGGTGCAGGAAGAAGCACGCGAGAGTCCAACACAGGGGTTCGAAACAAACATCCCCTCGAGGTATTGATCACATGCTGCGATAACTTACAAAAAGTGCCGCCAAAGCACAAATCAACAAACAACAACAACGAGCGTTCGCGCGCCACATAGCACAACGAAGACGAAGAACAGAAAAAAACAGATCAGAGCGAGGGTGGAGACGGGTGTCGGTTTTCCGCGTGGTTTTGGTAGATCCCGGGCATTTTCTTCCCCCCCCAACCAGCCGCGAGTTGAGCGCCAAGAGCCAGTCGCCGACCAAAAATCACACAAACACCGATTGATTCAACACGAACACCCACCCTGCAGCAAACAGCGACGTCCTCAGAGCGTGCTGCGCCTGAAAGTCCCTCGCGTACCGCACCCCTTCCGAAAGGCCCCCCAACAGAGCGCGAGCCTGGCCTTCCCCCAGCCCGCCGAGGTGCAACCTTGCCAAGCCGTACAGGAGGCGCTGAAGGCGCAGCGCCGCCGCGAGCAGAGCCGCCGCCCGCGGGCCGTCAAACTCGACATCGTCAGAACGACCGTCGCCACCGCCACCACCACTGGTCGGTTCATCATGACCTTCGCCATCTGCGGACAGAGTCAATGAGTCGCTGCGTGCCGGCCGCGCCTCCCCGTCTCCCGTCTCCTCGGTGGGATACAAAAACGCCTCCTGCTTCTCCTGCCCTCCACCGCTTGAGGCGTCGTCAGTTACGACAACGGCGTCACGCCCGGTCCCGGACAAGGAGTCCACCTTGGTGTCTCCACCGCCGCCGCCGCCGCCGCCGCCGCCGCCGCCGCCGCCGCTGTCGTCGCCGAACAACAACCGCGCGGCGCAACGGCGAGCGCCGTTATCCTCGGCCGCGGGGTCTTCTTGCGGCTCGCCTCCGCTGCCGTCGCGCCCGACGCGTCCCGCCCGGCCGAAGGACTCGGGAAGGCAACGACGCAGCATACGGAGGAGGCTGTCGCAAACGTGCGCGAGGACCGCTGCGGGGAGTTTCTCCTGCTGATGCCCGGCCAGGCCTTCCACCAGGAGCCCCAGAGACTCGAGGGCCAGGCGGGACATCAAGCCGTCCCCGGGGACTCCCGCTTCCTCCGCCACCGCCGCCCCCGCTGCTGCCGCTGCCTGCATCTCTCCGTCCCACCACCGTCCAGTCTCCTCGCCGCCACCTCCGGCGTCCTCCTGAACCTGATGCCTCTGCTCTTGCCGTGCTAAACTCTCTCCTTCATCCCCCGATCCCTCTCGCCCGCCGTTCACAGCAACACCCGTGCCCAGCTGACGGCTGTTACTACTGACGCTACAAAAGCGGCTACTACTGCCGTTGCTGGTGCTATGCCGGTGCCGCCGGCAACAAACGTGGGGCTCAAAAAACGCCAAAAGCGTCGGAACTCCCAGCGGCACCGCGGCCTCGGCGTTGCTCGAGACGACGGCGACGGCCGCGCGGAACAGCTGCGGTGCGGTCGTGTGCACCCACGAGTCGACGTCGAGCGGGAGCACGCCGCGGCTAGCCGGGCCAGGCGCCGCCGCAGTCGCCGCAGCTGCCCTCGCTACAGGGACGCGGCCGCCAGATGCCGCCGACAAAGAGGAAGACGGCCCAAGGCGCAAATGGCCGCTTCCTGGGCTTGGAAGCGCAGAAGGGGTCGCTGTCGCCGGCTGCGCCTGCCGTCTGCTGTGGCGGGAGGGCGTCGATGGCGCCGAGGGCGCCGAGACCAGAGGCGGTGCCGGCGCCGTTGGCGCGGCGAGCGGGGGCGTAGTCTTCTCCGCAAGGCGCGACACCGGCAGGAGGATGCGTGTCAACAGGTACGGCCATACCCTGAGGGAGAACTCCGGGGCAGATCCGAACTCCTTTTGGATGCGGGGACAAAGTGCGGCCGGCCGGAGAAAAAACCGGCGACGGCCGGGGAGGCGCGAAGGGTCGGAGGCGGAAGAACCAACGACGGTGGTCAAAAAGCGAAGTAGCGGTGGTGGCGGTGCAAACACAAAAATGTTGCCCAAACAATAAGGCCGCAACAGGCCACCTCAACGCTGCCGCGCATCATCAAAAACCAGGACTTCGAGGCAAAAGAACAAGGCGAAGACACAAAAAAACGCTACGATAGCAGCAGGCTAGAGGTCCGTACAAAACGACCTCACCTTCAATACATCCTGGAGGGTTGAAAGGGCCGCCGCGCGGCAGTCTAGCCTTGGGTCACCCGCGCCTCTTGCCAACCCCGTCAGGAGCGGCCACCACAGCTGAAGGGCGAGTCGGGATTGCTCCGCCGCCCCGACCCCGCCCTCTGCGGCCGCCACCCCGCCAACACCGTTCGATCCCCTTTTCCCGCGTGCCGACGACGGCCACATATCGGACGAGGGTGAAACCCTTCCGGCCCTGTCCTCTCCCGTCGCTGTCGGGGTCGGGACGGCGACAGCAGCCGCGGCCGCCGCGGGGGGGTCCGCCACCGCGCCGCCGGCCTCGTCGGGGGGAACGGGCGGGTCGAGGCTGTCGAGGTCTAGGGTAAGGTGGCCGACGGCGTCGTTCCGTGCCGCCCTGCGGGACCTGCGGTCTTCGTCAACGTCGTCGTCGTCGTCGACGTCTGTGTTGCTGTTTTCGGAGCAGCCCGCGTCGCTGCCGGGGCCGCCGCCGCGGCCGCCGCCGCCGCCGTAGTCGGCTCTCACGGCGCCCAGCACCTCCGGGGGAAGCTGTCCCGTGTTGGAGATCGTGGCCTCGGGGAGCGGTCGCTGTTGAGACGGGCAACGGTAGTAGCAGGGTGGGGGGTGGAGGGGGGTAAGTGGGCTTACTTACGGGACTGGCGTCATTGACATCCCTTGTAAGTGCTGTGCTTCTTCTTCTTCTTGGGGCGACCACCAAGCTAAGAATTTTCGCTTGGGGAGCAGCAATCAATCCACTGCTGTGTAGGTTCCACAGAAGCAGCCAAGCCTCGCAAACCTCTAGTTTGCTATTATAGTCAGCTTGAACAACGTCGTCAGGCTTTTCCACACACCGCATCTTGTTGGGCCACATACTGATAATACAAGGTACATACGCTGGCGTCACGCAACGCGTGAAGTACCTTTTTAAATAGTACCAGGTATCATGCAACGGCTGACTGCCGTCCGTCATCGTGCGTCAGGTTTCCAGTCTCACCTGAAGAGCGACGTCGACGCCGCCCTCGGCTAGCTGCCTGGCGCACAGCCGCAGGTGCCCGATGCAGACCAAGCTGACATCCAGAAATCTGCCAGACGCATACGCAACAAGACGTTATTTTTAGACAGACATATAGACGTACGGACAGCAGTGCAAAACCGCGAGACTCCTGCAAGACGACCAAAACAGATAGGGGGGCCGATATAAGGCCGCATATGCCATGAAATTAGACCGGCCTTGTTAGGATCGGCCCTGTATGAGGCCGCCGATGTCGGTCTTATTGGAGGTTTGGTTGCCCGCTGTAGCCCATACCAAGCGCCACATGTGCTGCACGTTAGTTTGGGTCGGTCCTTTGCTATCACGTTCATTTCATGCTTGCCAGCCAACTTTTTTTCGTCTCTCAGGTATATGATACATGTCCAACCAGGAAGAAATAAAAATTCCGGCAGACAAACGTGAATGCTGTAAATGAAGAATAGAGAACAGACATCTTGCTCATCCCCCGTTTCGCAGAAAAATAAAGGACACAAGTTGGTACGCATTTATGTTACCTGCGAGGCGAACACCTGACCTAGGGCAAACAGGTCAAGCGCGAAACGATTTCAATGGCTCAAGCCCGCACGCGGCAGTTCGTATCTCTACCCAAAAACACGTCCCCGCTCAAAAACTGGTAGGCAAGTTACCATCAAGTTGTCGCACACCCCCTGTTATTTGTAACCCCCAAGGTAACAACCGACCAGCCAACAGCAGCACACTGCATTCCTGTCTTACTTCCGAGGAACGACTGAAGCGGAGCATGTAACCGCACGGACTGCCCAATCCTGACAAACCCTCCTGGAAAAAAACGAGACCACCACCGACACAGCAAACGCTACCATGACTCCTCCCACGCGCTCATCACATCTACAGAAATTCCCTCAAGTCCGCCTTTCGCGTGGGTAATGTGGTATGCGCTGCGATCATCGCCACCTTAGCCCTCTGCACATAGATAGCGGCCTCAGCATTGCCGCTATCGAAACCAGCGTCACTTCTACGGAGACCGGCCTTAGGGCAGGCGGGGGGGCATAACCGGGGGTGCCTGATATAAGGCTGCCACCGTCCTTGTATCGGGCCAAGCCTGTGCCAAGCGATTTCACCTGCCTTCTATCGCGCAGGCGGCCTCATTTATGCGGCCTTAGATCAGGCCCCCTACCGTACCACAGAAAATGAACTGCTTCTCCTGGAAGCACGGCCAAACACAAATCGCGCGTGTGCGCTGACTCGTATTGCGTAGACTAACCTCGAAGCGGCCATCTCCAGCAAGGTGTAGACAAGATCGACAAAGTCGTACTGCACCAGCGGGAACGTCTCGCCGGCAAGCCCTTCCAGGATTAGGCACGCCGGCTGCACCACCTGCGTGTCCATGTGTAGGAGTGAGTGTGTGTGTGTTTCTTTATTTCTAGCATGGACGGCGTTAACCGGCTGACAAATGAAATTTGTGTCTGTGTGTATGAAAGCGTGTGATTACTTGATTGCCGTCGATCGCGCTAAACCGGAAGATCACACTACCAGACGTCCACCTTACGCCGTGAAAAAACAAAAACGGGGTCGCTTTCTCATCCGCGAAATCCCCGTGAGAGGGGGGGGGGGGGGGGGGGACCAAGAAACGTGTAAAAAAGCAGTCCAGCCTCAGCATTCGTATAATAGTGCTTGCAGAAGGAGCCCGCAGAACGCCACTACCACTACGCTTTCCCCCTGTTGTGATACCTTTTCTGGTAGCGACGATGGTGATGATGATGTGATGATGTGAGCGTGGCGAATGGCGCATGTATGGCATATATGGCAGAACACGAGGAGGGTTGGCACTGACCCTCTGACGAAGTTATGGAAAAATCGAAAAATCACAGCTAATTGCACTGGTTGTAGTTTATTTAGAGGGTTAAAATTGATGTTCTACTACAGTTGAGCGTCAAATCGCCACCGTTGGCTACTCTCGGTGTCTACCTCTCGCGTAGCGGCTCACCTCTTCCTGGGTGTCTGCGGCCGCCGACCGCAGCACTGTAAGCACCGTCTTCCAGCCGGACCTCAACAACGTCCCCTTCGTCAGGATCACGTTGTTCAGGCAGCTGGATCGTGGGGCGTGGGGGTCAAATCGGTGGGCATACATACGTGAGGCTTGGTGCTTCGTTCACAGGTTAGCGGGAGTTGGCGCAGAGGTGGGCACGATGCGCGTTTGGGGGGGGGGGGGGGGGGGAGGGGTGCGCGTACCGATCGTGCGAGACGGTGGTGAAGAGCGTACCCAAAGCCCAACAGGCTAAAACCAAGGCCGTTCCAAGTAGCAGCTGGGGGTTATCTGCTCTGCAACCAAGCAAAACACTAAATGTAGGACACGACAGCCCAAGCCAACGTTACGTCAAGACCGCAATATGCCAAGCGAGGAGGAAACTCAACTATTAGTCAACAGCAGGAACAGAAAAAAAAAAAAATCCAGCACCAGTCTTGTTCCAGAGCAGTCGACGGACACAAACAAAAAAACAAAAATAAAAACCAAGTCACCTCACGACGAGCTCGCGCACGGCGGTTTCTCGGCTGGTCCGAACGATCGTGGCGAACGGTCCAAGAAACACCCTCTGAAAGTTGAAGTCTCGCAACTCGTCCTGTCATACACAAGAGGCCAACAACGAGTTCCAGGGCAAAGCCAACGAATGTCGCGGGGAGTGCAGGTGACGGGATAAAATTTTGTCGAGATCGCGAAGCTGCCCTCCGGGACTGGGGGCACAGGGTCGTTCAAGGTTAACAAAAGAGCGGCGGCGGGCGGCCTCGGCCGCGGGCGGCCTCTCGAACGTACTTCGATATAATTATAAGAAAACATGGTTCTGGTTAGACGCCAATGTTGTAACCGTCCACACCTTTCAACATGACGACCTTACCGGTTGTCTGTGTCTGCCTACATGCGTTCGTTTCCTTTTATGCCGTGCCTTTTGTCCTGCGGCGGGTGCCGCATCGTCTCCGTCCCGTGCAAAAAGTGCCTAAAAGCACGCCATACTTCGTTTCCGTTTTTGTCCACGTAATACGAAACCCTCTTCCTAACGCTCCAAGACGTGCCTACGCACAACGGCGGTGACCGGCCCGTGCAGAGGCAACAAAAAAACTTAAAATACCTTGTCGAGGAACTTGAGGGCCAGCTGCCTGAGGCAGTCCACCGTGTACATCGCCACCGAGCTGTTGCCCGAGATGCTCCCGACAGTGCCGAAGTGATCGGCCAGGATGCCCCACAGGCTCGCCCACTCGATGCGGCTCCTGATATCCATGTTCAAGTGGGCCACCTGGCACGAGGAGACACAGACAAGACAGACAAGACAGACAAAGGGAGAGAAAAGTGGCTGTTAGACGAGGGACAGCGTCACAAAAACATTGTTAGAACCACGTCTCCCTTCTTCGAAAGCCATCTACCTCCCCTTTTATCAGAATTACCGTGGCCTTGAGACGGTTCCTGTCCCCTGCTGAGACGCCTTCTTCTCCTTGGAAACCCTTTGTGCCACTCATGGAAACACCCCGGGTACGCAAAGGCAATACTTCCCTCTCCTCCGCACGGGCGTTGGTTCGGCCAAGCGCCACTACGCTGTCACGCGGACAAAATTGATTCTTGTATGTACATGTGTAAACACGAGCTACTACAGAAACACACAACGTTTTGTTTTGCAGGTCAACGTCGAAGTCCCCCATCCACAAAAAAACGAAACAAGGCGCGCTATGTGGTCGTTCTTCCACTTCTTACCTCCACGAGCTTCTGCATCGAAAACACCCGGGGCTTGGCAGCCCCCCCCTTCAAAACGCCTTCCTGCCGCTGGTAGTTCCCCAGAGTGCTTGCCCGGCGCCCGAATAGCTGCGGTATCTCCGACTGAGAAACCTATGCATGCAAAGAAGAAGGAAAACAAGATGAGTAAAGAAAAAACACACGAAAAAAAACCACACACACAAAAAAAAAAAACGCACGAGAGCAATTAATCGTGTCGTCCAGGCGATTGTACGGTGGGGAGGTTGCCCTCCAAACAAACAAGTTGATTTTTCCAGCTGCTTGCCCACACGACCACATGCCCTTTTTTCGTTGAGGATACACAAGTGTTGTCGCTTTGCCCTCAAGAGGCTTTGGGGTTCCTTCCCGTATGCACTCGCGCATGATAAACGGGTGAAATCTGCTGTCTGAACGCAAGTCTACGAAAACCCAAGCAGGGCATGCGTGCCAAAAAACACAAGAAAAAAATGAGCGGTTCTCGCCTGGATGAGCTGCTCGACGAAGTGCTGCATGGCCTCGCGGTTGAGGAGCTGCGTGGCGCTGAAGACCCTGTCGATCAAGGCCTGGTCAATCTGGGCCATCACGACGGTGGCGTTTGCTGCCGTTACAAGCAAGGAAGCGACACGAAGGCGAGAGGGGGAAGGGGGGGGGGGGCGGGGGATCAAAACACACCAATTTCTAACACGACCTACACGAGCCGGATCCGATACGTACGTAACCGCAGGAGCCACCACGCTGTCGCACGAGCAGGCGGCACCACCTCCCTCCCTTTCTCTTTTTTCTTTTCTCTCGCGCGCATCTTGCCTGCCTCGACGACCCTCTCCTTCTCCTCCCTGCTTGGACCGATGAAGAAGCTGGCCAGCTCCCCCTTGGCGCTCTCCTTTTCCTTTCTTCGCCGGTCCTTCAGGAACGCGTCCCGCTCCTACAAGATGGTGTTGCCATGTCAAGGGTGAGAGATGAGAGGCTGTTGATGTCGTAAGTCTAGTTGTGCACACAAAGTTGCGATCGCTCCTGTTGTTCATGTGTAAAATTTTGCTGCTGGTGGTTGTCACGATGGTGGTGTAAATGTTGCTGCTGATGGTGCCACGATGGTGAGGCCGTTGATGTCGTAGTCTTGTTGTGCTTGGCTGTCACACAAATTTGCGATTGCCACTGTTGTCATGCTGTTACATGTTTATGTTGCTTGCTGCTGATGCACAACGTTGGTGTTTTTCAGTGGTTCTCATATTGCTGCTGTAAAAATTATGTTGGAGTTGCTGTTGTTGTCGCCACGCTGCCTTTTGTTTTGTCGTCGACGATCTACTCCTGCCGTTATCAGGTGCTATAAGTCAGCAGCAACGATAAGCGAGTCCCCCTCCGCTTTCGTGTCCGAGTGACAAAGCGTTGTTTTTTTTCCGAGTGACACACCGTGGTCACAACAAAAACCATAACGGACGCTATCCGCTCGTTTGGGAGAAAACATGTGGTATGTGCCTTCAAAAATCATTCCATTTGAGATACCATGCGAATATCGATCTCTTCGTTATTGTAGGAAGCTACAGCCCCCGGAAGGACTGCGGCCAAAAAAAAATATTTCCCTGCTAAAAACAAGATGGAAGCCGGTTTCATGAACCGGAGTAGCTCAGTCGGTAGAGCGCAAGACTTTTAATCTTGTGGCCGAGGGTTCGAGCCCCTCCTTCGGTGAAAAATTTCTTTTCCCCCCGCCCCCCCGATACCCATCGGGGTTGAGTTTTCGCCGCTTGGTAACGATGTTGCAAAACACGCTATTATACTAATTGCTTCGTGAGATCGACAGAGAGGTTACCGCTTGTTTTTGTGCCTTTTTTTTTTTCTGCGGAAACCAGAATGAAAGTGGTCGAGTAGACAATGTTGTGCGGTGTCGAGAACCCTCACTCCGCGCGAAGGAGATGATCGCACCACGTTGTGTGAAGTTGGTCAAGCATCCTCGAGGCAGTTACATAGTGCCTCTGGAAGTGAAACCACCAGACAAAAAAAAAACAAAGGGAAGCTATGCGTAGCTGTCATCCGTATGCACGGACGTAAGCACACGACGCCGAACACCCTTTGCAGGATGCAGCGCACGAAGGGGCCCTCCATATGGAAATTATGGAAACCCCC